TCAGTGCATGTATATCTTTACATCTTCCAAAGTTTCTCAAAGTTAAGAGGTATGTATGCAGAACGAAAAAAATCAACAAACTGATCTAAATAAAATTATAAATTAAATATTCTCAAAGTTTCATCTAATAAGGTTTTTGCCTTTTAGGTTTACGTGGGTTTTGTTTTAAGGGCATTTCAGTCTATTCAAGTGGATTTTTGATTATTTTTGAAAGTTTTTATAAAAATTGACATTTATAAAAGTATAGGGTCTATTTTTGCTATTTTTGATAAAAACTCATTTTGAAAGCTAGATTGTAAAATAACTTACCTATCGTTTACCTATCCCCTATATAACTAGAATAATTTACCTCCTCTTCATTGATGCAAAACCCATGGCTGTTGTCGAAGATTTATATATCCTAGCCAAAAGTATAGTTTTCTTCAAATCGTGTGTGGATCTTCTGGCTCTCAAACTAAGGAGGGGGGAATGGTATTTTGGGACAGCACAACCTGCCTCCAATCCAATGGATTGTATGTGCCAAATATTTTGAAATTTTAAGAAACAACATGTGTCCTCAAATTTACAATAAATTTTACCAAATACGTTATGAGGGGCATTTTAGGAGGAAACAAATCATGACAATAAATTGATTAAATCAACACTTCATACGCTCCACATGATACAATAAATTGTAAGTACGGGTACTTTTGGAATCTGAAAAGTATAATAATAGAAATTTAAGCTTCATTAGGTAATTTGCTAAGTTGAATCATAGTTATCGAATTGGATTTTTGTTAATGTATGGTTTTTGTAATTTTCTTTTGGCTTCCCTTAACATCTTTGTAATAGGATTTGTATTGTTATTTATCAAGCTCAAGTTTAGATTAAGAAAAGCTTCTCTTGGTGCTCTTATCTATCTTATATCCTATGGAGGTTCAAGCAATTTGACAAAGGTAAGGTGTGCATTGCATATCATTGCATTAAACTGTTTTTATAAAATGACGACTAGTCATCTGTTTCTCGTATGACTAGTCATCGTTGCTCTGTTGGATTTCCAGCTGGATAACCAACCTCTTTGTCCTATTCATCTTTCTCTCTTTGCTGCCAGGTGTGATTCTGACCTAAGGGAATTTATGTCTGTAAAGGCTACGAAATTCCTCTTTGGGCAGTTGTCTCTTTTGGGTGGAAGTTTTGGAAAGATTGGTTTTGCCATCTTTCTCTTCTTCTTCCTCAAGAGAGAACCAAATATTTCATCTATGAGTTTTTTCAATTAATTTCTTATTTGAAAAACTGCATTTGAAACACGAATCTGCATCTAGCTACTTAAATCATTCTCTCATTTATATCTCGGTCAGATTCAAGACTGATTTCTTCAAGAGTATGGTTTCTTGAAGAAATTGGTCATTCTCCTTTGAATCCAAATTTTTGGTTTCGGTCTGTGTTTGAGCTTGCAAGCTAGTGCCATGGGATGAACAAGCTAGAGAAGGGATGTCATTGCCATGAAGAACTGAGCTTCAAGTTTTGCTAAGTTGGAGAAGAAGATTGCACGAAGGAGATATAGCTCATACTCCTAAATAGATCTTGGTGTTTCTTGAGCTTGGTTATGTTTCCTATGTAAGAATTTTTTTCTACTTAGTGGAGTGCCTGGTCGGTTGATGACTCCCAGTTTTTCCCAATGATGGGTTTTTGGGTGAACAAATTCTGCTTTGCATATCTGTAATTTTTCTGGGTTTGTGTTCTTGGTGGTTGACTAGTCATCTTTATCTGTTGTTTGATGTTTACTTGAAAATGATGATTTCACACACTTTCACCATAGTTGTTGCTAGCACAGGGGATGCTTAGATTGACGGGTCATTCTGAGTGCCTAGATTGTCATTAGTAATCTTCTAGGGTTGCCGGTATTTTGTGGCATGCTCTGTGTGTTCTCTTGATTGTGGTTGTTCATGACTAGCAATTGACTAGTCATATGTGTATTTGGTCAAGGTCTAAAGTGTGAAGATTGTTGTGTTGTTGTGTCTTGTTTGTGTCGTTAAATTTACCCCTTATCACCTAAGTACCAATTTCAATTTTACTTATAAAAACTGTAATTTTATTTATAAGAAAATAAAGTGATGGGATGTTGGTGAGAAAAATTAAATTGATAAGGGACAGCTTAATTTTCTATAAAAATTATGATGCCATGGATCGATTCTCTATAAAAAAAAACCAGCGGAGTAGGTTATATTACTTGTCTGACTTTTTCTTTTTCCTTGGCGAAACTGGGTGCAGTCAACTACTAGTACAAGAGGAAATATAATATATAATATACCAATTTTGTATTAGGCGTGTAGAAGTGGTCCAAGGTTTTTGATCTAGTCCAAACGGGTAAGAAAGTTTAATGGTGTTCAACATGCTTCATGTCCATAAGAAATAGTCAAATCTACCAATTTTATATAAATTTTTCCAAATGTGCTTTAGTCAAACAATATAAGTAAAATATTTTTCAGATATATTTCATTCTTCAAAAGGAGATATTTATAATACAAGGTTGTAACCTTAATAGAGTTATACAAGAAAATAAGATAAAATCCTAATTACACAATATATATACACAAAAAGGAAAGAAATAGAGTTTTAATAGACTAGAAAATAAATCTCCTAATTAAGTTAGGATCTCGCTAACAGCTTCATACTTCATGTCCATAAAAACACAAGAGAAAAGATTGATGATGTTGGACATGCTTCATGTCCTATATCATTTTGGAAAAAGCAAAAGGAGAGAGAAAAATTTTAAAAGAAGCAAAAATAGACAAAAATGCCCTTATTTATTTTTAGATTTCCTGAGGAATCCAATACATTTGCATGTCTTTGATTTGAAAGTTGAGTGGTTTTTTTGTCTTTTTTGAAAAAGCTTTGACTTTTTCCAAAAGTGAAATTTTTTTTATGTCTAAAACCTAAAAAACCTTATGATGATTGATATATATAAAGAAGTTTTTGTTATATTAATATGTGATTTTTTTTTTCCATCAGTAAAGGTGTGCTTATATACCATGTAACTTATAATCCCAAGTTCTACGATTATGATAATAGGTTAGTTCATGTAATCTACTTGTCTTATAGATCTTGGCCAAAAAAAAAAAAAAAAAGGGTCATATGAATTTGGCCAAAGAATTTTAAAACAAAATTGTCCGATGGAGCACCAAACACAGTATAACTTAGTCAGACAATTTATTCGGAATAGTCCCAAACGCTTTATAATTTTACGAATAAACAGTCAGTACTCTTAGGAACATATTAATACTATTCGACATAAATTAGTCAATATAGTCTGACGTACCAAACTAGCCCTAAGAATGTTCAAGTTGAAATTTATTCTCATGAGCACGTCCATACCATCTATACGAGTCAAACAAGCGGATGAGTTTTTATAGAAATGTCACCTAAATTTATACTTCAGTTTTAATTTGTCACCTTAAAGAAAAATTTAAGAGAAATGTCACCAATACGCTATTTGCCGAGCTCTGAAATATATTGCTCTATATGTAGACGATGAGAACATGATCTCCATCTATCCTTTATATATATATATATATATTGATTATTTAATTTTTCTGAGTGGACTTTGTTATAATCCTTTTCTTACTTGAGGAATGTAAACTTAATTTTACCAAGTCCTATATATATATACACACATACAGACTCCCTCAAATAAGTTTATGTGAGGGACATCTTATGGGGCTCATTCCACAATGTATTTCAATGATCCGAACTATATCTTTTTTGTAGGTATTCCTTCAAAGATCGTATATGCAAAAAATCACTTGAATTTGAATCCAATTGACCACTCAATTCAATAGTTGTTATTTTAGTGTTTTCTTAAGCACTATGTTCATCGAGTTTGTTGGCCACAACTAGATGTCTTAACGGTTTCTGATTTTTCAAATTTTTTTTGACAAGGATGATCTATGACTGAAGACTATAAAAATAAACGGTTCGGATAGTTGAAATAAAATTTTTAATGGGCCCCACAAGGTGTTGTTCAAATAAGATTATTTGAGGAATCCCTCAATATATACTCACACACACCAAATACTTAGAAAAGTCTCCAAGGACAATTTTTTGTTTTGTTTTTTCACTGAATTAACTATATTGGTAGTTGTCTCCTCCATTTGATTGGAGAAGATCTCATGTTAGATGCACATGAATACATAAGTGTGGTGACTTCAATACTTCATTATGGCATAAGTTTGTTGTGGATGAATTATGTTGTTTTGAATACCTTCTGTTGTAAAAAAAAAAGAAAAAAATCTCCTAAAATAATTTCCTACTATAATATATCGCAGTCAATTATATGATTTGTTGGACGGGGATTATCCCTCCTCCCCAATCGGATGTGCGTGAGATAAAAACCATGTGAAATGTTTACTAGGACGGTTGTATAATAGGATGCTTGGTGCGCCCAAAATCACGATTGTAGGAGATATGTATGTTCAAGTCAATAATGCTTCGAATTGGCATCTTCAACTTTCCAGCGAAGCAATCCAAATAAAAAACATGCAATTGTTTTGACTCTGGACTTTGGAGGGTTGCTGCTTAGGTAAGTGGTATACGTCATAGGACGAGGCACAAGTTTACAGAGTGTTTTTGTTTTACTTTAATTTGGTAAACCTAATAAGTCAAATAAAATATTCATTAAGCAGATCAAGACCAACCAAGTCGTCCTATAAAATAAATAACCACTTGGAGGCTCTGCCGTTGTGAAGGAAGTAGAAAATATTGTAATTGCAAAGTTGAATTCTTCTTTGCCTGTAAGCTTATGTCGTGAATATTTTTCTTTTGTTATACACCGGCATAGAAAATACTTAAAAGGAATCATCTTATCTCAATACATCATGAGACAGATAACATTACATTATAGTAAAATAAAGTTGGAAGAAGCAAGTTTTATTTGATTTAACCCAAATTTAAGAAGATGAAAAAATATTAGAGGAAGCAAAACAAAGGGGTTTCGCTGACTTTTTATTGAAGTAAAGTTCGGACATGACAAATAATTAAGATGAACCCGAAAAGAGGCATTTCGGGCGTCTTTGAATTTCTAGTTGCTACAGGCAAAGTAATGGAGCTGCAAGTGAATTCACTCTTGGGGCTTTGAATCGGTGACCTTTAATAATTCTTGCGCTTCATAGAGTATGCTCAATCCCTCTTTCAACATCATCACTCCTCTACCAGCCTTTTTACGTCCATATTCAATATGATTCTTTGAGGAAATAAAGAGGTCCAATACGTTGACAGAACCAGTTATGTTAGGGCAATTACCCTCAATGGTGTGTATTATTTCCGACAGCTGCTTTAAGTCTTCATGAAGAACAAGTGTGGCCTTGATAGAATCCGTTTCACTGCTAGTCTCCAACTTGTTTCCAGTTTCATCCCTCCTACTTCGGTTGCTCGCTCGACCTTCTGCGCAGTCCTCAATACAAGAAGTAATGAAACAAGGGAAAAAAAAAAAAAAAAAAAGGAGATGAAGAAGCAAAGAAAGTGGCCATTGCAAGTGAATTAGCACGTACGTACATTAATAAATTAAATGTCTGAAGAAGAAAGAGAAAACATATATATATATATACCTAAGTTTGTTTTTTCGGGTGTGGGGGGATTCCCTGGTTTGTTCCCCTCTTTGCCATGCGATGGTGATGAGATTTGATCGTGTTTCCTTTTATCCCCCACAGCCACAGCAGCGAATTGGTTGTATTCTGACACCATCGCCTCTCAAGAGCACAACTTTACTCTGTGAGAAACCAAAATTGCTATATATATAGGCGTTGAGATTCCCTTGTTGGAACTAATTGAGGGATGCGGATCCTCAATTTTTTTATTTTTTATTTCCTCATGTAGAATATTCATGTTTTTCTTTAACACATGTAAATTAGGTCAATTAATCAAGACAATTAATCAAGACAGTGATATGCGGACATTGACTTCATATTTCAGCGCTCAAAATATCAAGATCCCAACAAAGAGCTGCTCGTACATCACGTGCTCAATTTACCAATCCTGCAAGAATTTTATGAAGTTGTAATAAATATTTGAGAACAAAGCGTTCACACAGTATTTTTCATAAAAAAGTATTTTAATGGCAATAAGTAATTTGTTCATGAACAGTTGTATGGACTTTTCCTGCTTATGTATGCTTAATACGTCATAGCGGCTTACGTCAATGGTAAACCTTGGCGCACACATGTATTATGTATACTTATTTAACTTAAAGCATTTACAATCATGCTCTCTAATTTTTAGTTAAAATTTAGTTAAAAACATATAAAAACTATTTTAGGAGCTTTCTATAAAATTTTAACTCCAATCATACTCTCTAGTTTACGGAGTCATAAATGCTATTAACTCTTTTTTTTAATTAGTCCATCTTTATAAAAAAAATAAAAATAAAAAATAGTTAGTATTAATTAAAGGTTTAAAATAATCATAAAATAAAGCAGCATTAAATTATAGGGAGCCACTAGGAGTCATTCTTTTCTCCTCAAATTTAGGAGATCTTAAAGGTCTCCCTATTTTAGGAGGTGGATAGGAAACATGGTTTATATTTTTCCAATCTTCTCCTTAAAAATTGTCTAAAGAGGTGGTTTAAGAAGCCCATTATAAATACTCTTAGGTCATTGGTTGATGTCAGAGGCAGCCTTAAGGTTTGTAGACCTCAATTCCTACCTACTTTTCATTTTATTTAAAAAATATATGTATTATATGAACTCAACATCCATCAACCATTGCAAGTCTAACACTTAAGATAATAAATAAATAAAATGTAATCCACAAACCAAGAAAGGTAGGGAAAATATTTACTCAAATTCTTTATCAAATCTCAAATTCTAGTACAATAAAAATCAGTTGCTTACACATATATATGTAAGAATGTGAATATAAAAAGTCTCACATTGGAAAGTTAGAAAATCTTGCAAGGGCTTATAAGGAGTTGGGTTACTCTCCCATAGCCAATTGGTTTTGGGGTGGAACCTCAATTTCCTTCATGGTATCAGAGCAGGTTAGCCCACGTGTGAAAGCCCAATGGCCACACGTGCTCCACGTCACCCAATATGTGTTGTCTACTTGTTAGGCTTGAAAATTAGCCACACGTGCTGGGGTGTGTGAGAATGTGAAGGTAAAAAGTCCCACATTGGAAAGTTGAGAAACTTAGAAAGGGCTTATAAGGAGTAGGGGTTAACATAATTTATGTGTAATTATACGTTTATATATATATATATATATAAATTTGAGGTGCTAGACAGCCGCCTTGCCTGCTTATGCTTAGGGCCGCCTTGCCTGCTTATGCTTAGGGCCGCCCTTGAGTCAAGTCCACTGTCCATGGTCAAATATAATAGCATTTCTTAGGTTGTTAAGACAATATAATAAGTTTACTTAGAAAAAGGAGATAATATAATGGATTACGTTTCCATAGTTTAGAGTTAAGATTCTTGTGGATCACGCTGACGACCTACGAGGGATGTGCCACTAAGACCAGGTTTGAGTAATTAACAAGAGAAGTCATTGTAAAATATTAACAAATTCTAACTCGACTCACTTGGAGCTTCCTTTTGTATTTGATTTTAAAGATATTGTATATGTATTGAATCACAAACCACATAGCGTGGTTCCCAATATTATTGATTGTGTATTGGTATACGACGAATACAAACAAATTTGTATTAGATGGAAGGCATAAATTGTTGAAGTCTTCTTTTTGGAAGGTTCTATAACAACATTTTACTAAAGCTTAAATAAATAAATTGATTTTATATGGGGATGGGAGGTAGAGTCTTTCTTTATTGTACCTTATCTTCATAGTTGCCCTATAAAAGGCAATCTTCTGTCCCTTGGGAAGCATATTGGTAGTCATGGACGACTTAGAGAAATCTGCTGAGATGGAGGAAGAACACATTCAGGTACGTAATGTGGAAAAAAAAAAAAAAAATAGAAGAAAAGGAAAATAGGAGAGATGGGAGATTATTTTCTATTTTGTTGATGAAAGACGACAGCTGAAAGAGAGATTACAAAAAATTAAAACAACTATTTGTTATTTCTAATTCTTATTTTATTATATTTCACACTTTTATGATCCTCATTATTATATTTCAATGATTGCTTATTTTATTATATTTCAATCTTAAATTAATAAATTTTTATTATTGTGATGAAATAGATGTGTATATGCATGCACATATGTTTTTTTTAAAACACAAACAATAGTCTAAACTACAAAGGGAATGAGGTTTCTTACACACATACTACCAATGTGCCTTAGGGTGTTCGAACAAGTAATCATTAGTCTGCAAGTGAAGGCCCTTTCTCACTTAATTAGACCCCGTTGGCTGAATGCACATATGTTTATTACAATTAAAAATGATCATATACACATATACATGCGGACGTGTATATGTTTAGGGGTAGATTAAATAGTTTTTTTTTTCTTCCAATAAACCCCGTTGCATTTTGATTGTAGTCTCCTTAATTTATTTTAAAAATTTATACATAGGTAGAATATTAATATGTACGTACCTACACATATACTAGTGCACCCGAAATTTAAAGGGGTTGAAGAATCAAAATTCAATATAAAACCCAACTTTAATGAAAATAATTCTTATCTGAGAATCTGATTTTACCTTCTTTTTACTGAGAAACCCAACTTTAATGAAAATAATTCTTATCTGAGAATCTGATTTTACCTTCTTTTTACTGAGAATCTAACTCTATAATGAAAATAATACAATCTAATTATCTATGCATTATTGCTTTTAGGATGTTTCTAGATTTTACCTTTTCTTTTCCTCTTCTCATTCGAAACAGGGATATGAAGAGATACCCATGAATGATAAGTGGACGATGATTGCACACAAGCTCCGCGATGTGCAAAAAGGTTCAGAAGACTTGAGCATCTATAGAGTTCCAAGTGAACTTCGAAAAGTTAAGGAGGATGCCTACAACCCTCGCGTTGTCTCCATTGGACCTCTCCATCGGGACAACCCTAACCTCATAGCTATGAAAGAGCATAAATGGCGTTACATGCTCTTCATTCTGCAACAAACGGACGACTATGAAAATACTAAAGAATGCTTGAAAACGTGCACCAATGCCATTTATGGTTTAAACAAAAAAGTGTGTGAGAGTTATGCTGAAGATCTCAAAAAAATGGTGGAGGAAGATCTCGCAGAAATAATGTTGGTTGACGGATGCTTCATGTTGGAGCTTTTCCTCAGGTACGACCGATACTGCTCAAATATTCCGTTGAAACACCAATCTAATGATCCAATATTCAATACTGCTTGGATGATCCCAGCACTTAAGCATGATCTGGCATTACTTGAAAACCAGATCCCTTTCTTCATTCTCGAAACATTGTATGATATTATCAAGCCTCACATCCCTCACATCCCTCACACCCCTCACACCGTGGAATATAAACCACCAAATTCGGTCACTAGCCTCGCTCTTAACTTTTTTCAACCCATGAACCAAAAGGCAATAAAAGAAGATACTAACACTGCAGACTGCAAGCATTTGCTTCATCTTTTGCACAACTTCTTCCTCCCAAGATGGTACCATACCCATATAGTTGAATTGTGTCCTGCCGAGGCAAGCAACCAACATGCAAGAAAAGAAGATACGGAGACTGCAAACTGCAACCACTTGCTTAAACTTTTGGGCAAGTTCTTCCTCCCAGCAAAGGCAAGTAAGAAAAAAAGTAAATTCAAGTATTGCGCTTCAGACCTTTATGACGCTGGAATCAAGTTTGAAAAAGGGTTTGCCAAGGACAATTTGTTGTGCATAATATTCGAAAATGGAACAATCAAAATTCCACCGGTGTTCATTGATGACACTACAGATTCACTGTTCCGGAACCTGATTGCTTTTGAGCAATGTCATCTCAAGAGTTCACATCACATCACATCCTATGTCATCCTAATGAAGAGTCTCATCCGTTCAAAAGCGGATATCAAACTACTCAAGAAAAAGGAGATCATAAATGAAAATTTTGCAGGAGGCGAATACTTTGTTCATTTTGAAAGTATTTTGGACCATGTTAATCCAAAGGACTTCTTCTTTGGCGACTTGTGCGACCAGGTGAATGATTACAGCAGGTCCTGGTTTCACTGGCGTAAATTCAAAGTATTTTGGATGGTGCGGCTTCAGAGATATATGAGGTCCCTTTATGACACATATTTCTCTAGTCCATGGAGTATCACGGCATTCTTGGCTGCGGCTGTCCTTTTCAGTCTCACTGTCATACAGACGTACTATGCCATTCACCCTCGCTAAGACTTATTTCTCTTCCACATGGAGTTTCACATCTTTACTGGCCGCGTTTTCCCTCTCGCAGCTGATGCTTGTTTTCTTGCTTTCTTCTTTCTTTATGCTTTCGCCATGTATTATGTATGCACGCATGTGTGCAATCTCTAAATTGTATGGACTTGATCATCTGAATAAAACTAAATTGCTTGCATTATTTTATGCACCCTTCTCTTATTAAGCAAATTTCGTTCATATAGTTATAGATATACGCTTTTATGTTGATCAAATCTTGTTCGTGACTTTTTGGCTTATAAAACATCATATAGGTGGCTGGTCTCGTGACCTTCCACAAATATAGGTGGCTGGTTTTGACTTATTGTTGCCAGCTTTTTTCCATATTCCTGCCACATCCTATTTTCCACGGTCACGCCTTTATTTCATTTCTCACTCTTTCGATTCTTTTA